CCCCACGCACACACACACATCTGAACCCGGACGCGCAGTCCGGCGCCCCCCGCGCGCACACCAGGAATAGGCGAGTTGGACCACCACCACCCCTACAGCACCTCGGCACCCTCCCACCCTGAACCTCTCCAACACAGCAACGCGTCCTTACAATTAGGCGCAAACTGTAAGGCTTGAGCAGAGCTTCAATTCACATATGCACATGTGTGCCTCCCCCGCGCCTCACATGTGTGCGTGCACAAACACACACACATACACACACACACACAGTCACCCGTTGCAATAATTAACCCACAAATATCCGAACATACCCACACCTTAACCCATACAGCACACCTGAGCTCACAGGAAGCCCAGGGAGTAAACCATACAGCCCACACCCCTACAAGCCTGCTTCTCCCTGCTCCTGCCCTAACAGAGCAGGTGCTAGCCCCCACGCCACCAGCCAGCCTGCAGGAACTGCGGGAGACTGCAACTCTGAATGCAGGTAGCTCCAGGTACCTGTGCTTTTGGAGTCTTGGTTTCCCTGTGCTAAAAGTGTCCACCCTGCAGAATCGTAGTGAGGATCACAGAAACCTGCCCGACTTAGTAGATAGGGAGCAGAGAGCAACTTGATGCGCTCTTACTTCGTTGTTTTGGGCTGCTAGGGTTAGGAGAAATGCATGGCGCGTGTGCCTGCCGAATTCAGCTGGGACTCAGAGTTGCTGCCGTGACGGTTTTCCATTGCAGGCACTGGATAATGAAGCGCCGAGTTTTCAAGCGTTGTCTACAGGAGTATTGTGAGCAGCTGGACTGAGAAACACCGGCCTGCTCTGAGCTAGCCTTGGCCGGGGACCTAGTCCCAAGGAGCCCTCACTCCAGCAACCAAAGGTTCTTTCTCATCCCCTCTAGCCAGTGTTCTCTCTTCCATATTTTGCACTGCTTAGAGGCTATCCTTATGGTCAACGTAGCCGATTCTCGCCACTCCCAGCCACCAGGCCCCATTGTCCCCCTTGCTGTCCCACACTGTTTGCACCTGTGTACAACCCCAGATTCTGAGTGGACTCCAGAGGAAACTGCAGCAGCCAGACTCCTCGCAGGAAAGCCAGAAATCTGTCCCCCATGATGAAGCACTCAGGTGCCGAGCTCCAGAGCTGTGCAAAGCATCTCTTTCATTTTAAAACCCAGAACTTTCAAAGCAGGCCAGGACTTTCCAAGTGAAGCTGTGGTCTTGCTGAACAGCCCCAAAGTAATCTAGAGGTCCTCAGTGAGTTTTCAAGGAAAGTAATTACCATTCACTTTCTGTCTCCCACAGTGCTTCCCTGGAAGAGAAATGTAGTCCAAAACAAACTGTTTTAAAATAATAAATTCACCATTAAGTGCCATTTACCATCCATTTTTATCCAAGAATCGTGAGGAGTGAAGTTGAAAAGGTCAGCAGTGGAGAACTTCTCAGGCTTGCAGCAAAGGGCAGTGTAATCCCAGGGCCTGCTCTGAAGGCAGCTGCGGTGTCCGAGGCCTGCCTGGCTTTCACCTGTAGCATAGCCCCAATCAGTATAAAGGTAAGTGCTGCAAGTGCCATCTGCCATTCCGCCTCCCTAATTCATTTATTCCAAACTCAGTTGGGGAAGAAGGGTAGCACTAGCTTGCTGGGTTTTCTAAAGTATTTAGCATGGCTGCTTTGCACAAAAAGCAGATAAAATGGGCATATTTATCCCTCCTTCCCCATTCCCACAGCTTTCCCCAAATCTGGAATACTACCCACTAAAATTCTTCGTGTCTACCAAGATCCACCTCAAATACCACCTGTTACACAAAACCTTCTCTAGTGCTCCCAGCCAGAATAGTCTCTCCCCTCATTTGAATCTCCAGAGCACTCTGAATTTTTATATTTACCTTCTTACTTTATATTGACAATTTGCATCTTTTCTCCTCAATAATGTGTAAATATCCTATTTGTTTTTATCACAGAGCTCTCCATATAATAGTTGCTTCAAATTAGACTTAGCAGATGAATGAATAACTATACAAACTTTTCCCCTGGGGAAGTTAATAAACTAACCAGGGGACAATCTAATTGAAAAGTCACCTCTGTGCATGTAGTTAGAAGTTTTACAACAGATTCTAAATGCAGTGAGGCACACTTTCTCACAAATCACTTATCTAACCTCAAAAATCTTAACATAAGCAAAAAACAATAGTGAAAAAACCTCTAGTCAACAAAATAGCTTGTAGAAATCTATTTCTTGGGTTTTTGTTTTGTTTTGTTTGGTACCAGCATCAAACTCAGGACCTTGCACTTCTGAGGCAGGTGGCAGCACCACTGAGCTAAATCCCGGGCCCTGAAGTCAGAGTTTTAAAGCAGACACACTTATGAATAGGGTACTCTCTTGTCCATGCTTAGATACTGTTAATAATTATCTTATAGGCAATTCTAATAACATCATTATCTGATTCCTAAGCCCACTATACATTGGAAACACCTTCAACAAGAGTCAGAGGTGGCCTTAGCGATAACCTGAGACTGCAAAGAAGGTTGCTGAGATTCCAAAGTGTGTTTCCTTTACCCCACTCTCCTCCTGGAATACAGTTATATCACTGCAGATAGGAAGGATTGTAGGGGTGAGCCTGTGTTGTAGCAGGCCAGATGGATGTTCCCGACAAGTGTTCTAGTTAAGAAGACAGGGAAAATGTGAAGTAAATGTTGCAAAGGTTTCCTTCTCAAATGTTTGAAATATTGCAAAACACTAATCCAGTTGAAACGGTTGTTTTCCGTAAAACTCTACATATATTTGACATCTGTTTACTGGTTAAGAATGTCATGATGAGATGCTACCATACGGCTCGTTAATGCAGGGGAAGTCACATAGGCCGAGATGGTCAGGGAACGATTCCATGGGAAGGTCGGTTTGTCCTGGCCTAGAGGATGAAGAGAAACGGATACTCACAGGTGGAGGACTGAGGCTGGAAGAGTGACTGGCCCATCCCAGGTGCTGGATGTCTCTGTGCTGAGCAAATGGGTCAGTAGTGTTTTTGTTTACTGTGGGGTACAGAGAGAGCAATGCCTGGGGCATACTCATGGGAGCAGAGCGGTCTGGGCTAAGCTAAGGGCTTATCTGGAGACCAAGAGGATTCAAAATTGAGCAGCCAGGATTACAAGGTAGAGAACATTGAACCCAGCCCTAGGGCTTTAACTTTTTCCAACAGGCCGGCAACATGATAGAATGTTCATTCAGCCAGGAACAGATACAGAGGGTCTCTAACTTAGAATGATTCCACTTATGATTTTTTTTAACTTTACAACAGTGCAAAAACAATACATGTTCAGCAGAAACCATACTTGGCATTTGCTTTCTTCCAAGGCCAGCAATATGCAGGCAGCTGCGGCAAGCCACAGATCCCACTCAGCCTTGAGATCAGGAGAGTAAACAAATCCAGAGTATTCTGCATTGCCAGTGTTGTTTGGATGCATCTGTCCCACAAATTACATGAGCTATTCAACACTTCATTATAAAATAGGCTTTGGGTTGGATGATTTTTTCCCAACTATAGGGTAAGTGTTCTGAGCACATTTAAGCTAAACTAGGCTATATGTGTTTGACAGATTAGGTACATTAAATGCATTTTGGACTTGGGATGCTTTCAACTGAATGGGATTATCAGTTGTAACCCCATCATACATAGAGGAGCCTCCATACTTAATATCTACAATGTGCCAGGCAATAAAGCTGAGTAGTGTAACACCGATCAGTGACTCAACAGCTTATTCAACAAATACTTATTGAGCACTGCCTTAGTTACTTTCTCATTGCTGGGATGAAATACTCAACACCCACAACCCTAAGGGTTTATTTTGGCTCACTCTTTGTACAGGTTTCAGTCCATAGTCAGCTGGCTCCAAGGCAGGGCAGAGGAAGCTTGTTTATGGCATGGGAGCGATGCAGAGAGAGGTCAAGGGAGGAGTTGGGAAGAGACAGACCCAGGCCATGTCCCCAGCCCCCCCCCCAATTCCAACCAGATCTCATGTCCTAATAGCAAGTCAGCCAGAAGTCCCAGTAATTCAGTCACCTTCCAAAAGCCCTGCCTACAAGCACATGAGGCTTAGATATAACCATAACAAGCACTTACCATGTGGCAGCCACACACACACACACACTCCCCTGGAGCACTTCAAAACAGACAAAAGCTTCGGTACTCGTGGAGTTTGTATTCTAGTGGGAAGAGACAGGCAGATATGAGCATGCTAAGGAAAAATGCAAAGCAGAAAAGAGAGGTCAGAGATGGGGTCGGAGGTGTGTACAGCCCGCTCCTGGAGGGGTTCAGGTGCCCAAGTGAGACTGCTGTATAAACAGAGATGTGCGATAGAATATGATAGCGCTGTGACAGGCCGAGGGGTGGCACAGGTGCTCAGTGGGGTACAGAGACTGAGCACCCAGCTCAGCCTCGGGAGGGAGAGCACTGGGCAAAGGCATAGAAGTGTGACAGCATGCGTCCAGAAGATGCATCATCCTGCAGCCGCTCTGGGCAGTGCTGCTATGCCCTGGAAGGCGGGGGCTGGGGATGACCCAGGGGGCCTCAGGTCCTGGCAAGTGGGTGAGGACCTGACCTGCTGGTGGTGTCGCAGGGAAGGAAAGGGAGGCGGTGAGTGTTGAGGCAGGATGGCTCTGTGTGGCACACAATGACGGTTGGGCCTGGGCAGCAGAGTGTGCTAGGCTGGATGGGAGAGCGTGGAGAGGACTGGGCCCAGGAGACCCTACGTGGTGGGCTTAGAAGTTCAGCTTTCATGTGGCAGGCTTCGGGGAGCCAATGAAGGGTGTATATAGGGAGAAGGATGAGCAGACCCTGGCTGAGTGTGTGGAGTGGCTTGGGGGAAGGACACGTGGAGCAGGGGGGACGACTGGACAGACACAGGAAGTCTGGTGGCAAATGGATCTGAGTGAATACAGCCGGGCAGCCAAATGACAGTCACAGATGGGAAGCAGGAGGAGGAAGGCATTCAAGGAGAAAATGTAAGTTCAGTTCTAGGCATGCAGCGGGAGGGTAAGGTGCCTGTGGTGTTATGGCTTGGATATGAAATGCCCCCACCCCAGTGCTGAAGCCTCACTCCCTGTGTAGCAGTGTTCAGAAGCAGGGCTTTTGGAAGGTGATCGGCTCATGAAGATGCTTCTCTCATCAGTAGATTCACCCGCCGATGAGTTCATACCTGGATGGGCTATGAGGAGGTGGGGCCCAGCTGGAGGAAGAAGGTTTGACAAAAGGCTCAGCCCTGGCCCCTTTCTCTCTCCCATCATCTGTTTCCTGACTCCCAAGAGGTAGCAGATTTCCTCCACCACACCCTTCCACTACAATGGGAGCCACCTTACCATGGACTGAAGCTTCTGAAACTGTGAGCCAATAAAAGCCTTCCTTCCTTTAAGTTGTTACTCTCAGGTATTTTGTCACAGTGGCAGAAAGCCAACTAATACATGTGGAATGTGCAGGCGCAAAGAATAGTAGCTCACATTTCTTGAATATTCATTACATGTCACACACTGTGCTAAGTATTTTACAGGGCTTATTAATCCCTCCCTATATCCATGATGCAGTATAGGTATTATATCATCTAAGCTCTACAGAGAAGGAAAGGCACAGAAAAGTTCATTTAATTGCCTAAGATCACAGAGCTACTAACTGATGGAGACAGGCTTTGATCCTGGTTGGCTGAACACAGATTCCTCATTTTTAATCCAGAAAATATCCTGTTTTTTGACTGTGTGTGTGTGTGTGTGTGTGTGTGTGTGTGTGTGTGTGTTGTATTTTTTGCAGTATTGGGGACAGAACCCAGGGCCTTCACATTGAGGTGTATCCCTAGCCCTTCTTTAATATTTTTTATTTTGAGACAGGCTCTTGCTAAGTTGCCTAGGATAGTCTCAAACGTGTGATCCTCCTGCCTCAGCCTCCCAGAAAGCTAGGATTACAAACATGTGCTACCACAGCCAGCCTTGGGTTTGTAACTCAGAAAGAGATAGACTAGTGACAATAGATATAGCTTTTGGAGATTCCCTGTAGCTGACAATGAGATACAGGAAAGAGGGATGTAGTGGAATAGATGTGTGAAAGCAAAAAGAAGATAGGGAGATGGGAAATTGAGATGTGTCACTATTGTTTCAATAGGAAAAGCCCTTAAGCCTTTTCATGGATCAGGGAGATATCACTAGATAAAGGTTCAAAATTTAAGAGGAAGGGGTAATATGAGAGACAAAGGGCCATGTGATCTGGAGCTACACACACACAAGCAGAGGCGAAGTGATCAGCTGAGCACCTGGCAGGTCTGGGGCCCTTTGAGAGCCTGACTGCCACTGAGATAGACAGCACAGATAAACGCATATTCCCCAGTGCTTTGCAAGCAATCTGAATAGGCTCAGACATCCTTAGGCCCTTTCGGGGACACCAGTCACAATGCTGCCTAAAGTCTCTTCTATGTCTTAGAATTTGTGTCTTTAACAAGTTGGTATGAGGGTAGGAAGTCTAGGTGGAAATTCGAAAAAGTGGTTGAAATAATGGGACTTCCCACTAAATAGCTTAACCTGGGCTTGGGAGTGCATTCTGTGGACAGGGCTCAAGTGTGCTCCTAGTAAATTCCCTGAGCCCATGGGGACCTACACAGGCAGCAGCGGTCTGTGGATCAAATGCACCAACTCCCCGGGAGTGCTCATAATTCTCTGCAGGCATGGGCAGGCCAGCCAGCTCCCAGGCCAGAGGAGGAGGGAGCTCTGTGTCAGAGAGAGATCTCAGATGTTAGAAGAGGGATCCTGCCAAGCCCACAGTCAGCCCCTGCATGTGGGTAGCCTTGTTATCAATGAGAAGAATATGAGCTCACCAAGCCAAGGAGAAGAGGGCCTAACAGAGACACCAGTCAGTGCACACGGCCTTGGGGCTGCTGCATGTTCCCAAAATGATTCCACTTGCCTGGGCAGCACAAAGGCTGACACTCAAGAGCCCATCATGGGCAGAACCAGACTAGGCTACCAGTACCTTCTGGGATCTGGAAGCTTCCTTCTTCTTTAATGGTGTTTCTTAATCTGCAGTGCCATCATCAGTAATTCATTAACTATGTATGAGAAACACTTGAATAACACACCACATATCGTGTTAAACTGATTATTTGGACAAAAACCAGGTGATGTCATTTTCTGAGGCTGAGCTGGCCACTGGAGCTGCTTGCCCAGCTCAGACTCTCAGTGGCTGTGGAGGAGAGGCTGGCATTGAAGGCAGCCTGTGGTTTCTGGCCTGCAAGAAAACCCACTCTCTCCCCTGGGCCACAGATGGTCTCTGTGGAAGCTGCAGGAGGGAAGGCGTAAGTCTGGACACAGGAGGATGGTACTGGTAGCCCACCTTCCCAATCACAGTGGCTACTGACCATGCCTTTTAATGGTTATATTTCTGAAGCTTTGACAACGGAGGCCGTACTCATCCTGAAATGAGCTTCCCAGCCCTATCTAGTTCCTAGAAATAGCAAAGACTCACCTGTGAGCATCCTTCCCGTTGGCACCACCACCAGCCCCTACATTGGGCTCTTGCGGGGCTCTTCCACCCTGGACCACTGTCCTCCTGCTCCAGTCACCCCAGGCCAAGTACCAGACAAGTAGAGACAGCCTCTGACCCCAGGAGCCTGCTGAAATTACTCAAACGAGGCAGTCCCAACCTTCCTCTCCGGATCCTTCCCACAGGACCAAAGTAAGTGTCTTACCCACACTTTGCTTCTGCTGTGTCTCCCTCTCCCTGACTCCAGTGCCTCCCCATGTGACCCTGCCAGCCTGGCATGCCTCCTCCTCTGGGGGATTGTGATAAACTGTATTTTCAATGGCAGTTGTTGTTTCCTGATCAGTTAGCCTTTCTACTTCTGAATAATAATAAAACTTACTTTTTAAAATGTCTTATTGAGACAGCATCTCTCTGTGTTCCCCAGGCTAGTTTTGAAACTGCAACCCTTCTGTCTCAACCTTCTGAGTAGCTGGATTTAGAAGCAAGCTCCACTATGCCTAGCACAAACCTACACTTTAAAATAGGGTTTTAATTGAAACTTTGCTGACCTGTGAACTGTATAAATGGTCAGGGAGAAGGGACTGATATTTATTGTGTTCTTAAAATGCTTCAGGCATTTGCAGTGAGTGGTGTTTCTCTGTTATTTTATTTAATGGTAACACCCTAAACAGATTTATAACAAAATCTCCAATAGGTCATGACTTTGCAAGGGTGGCAAGACAGAAGGTGAATTCAGGACTGCTGATTCCATCTATGGCTTTCCCATCACACAGGTTATATATGTCTAACACAGATCTATTTTTGTTCTTTGTATCCTCTTTTTACCCTGATCAGTGATCACTGCCTATTCTACCCCACCACCTGTGGCAGTCCAGCTGTCACAACACTAACATGCCTGAGTCGGGGAGTGAGGATTGAGAAAGGAAAGAACACTCAAGCCTGAGTGGAGACCAAGAGAAGTCTGATTTATTTCACAGAAACAGCTCCTTTTAAAGGCTCACATCAACAGGAAGCTTTTAAGGGCACACAACAACAGAAAACACCAAGCAATTGTTTTTAACTTTATGTAAAGACCGGATTTCCTGACTCTTACAGATAACATCAGATCTTTGGCTAACAAGTTCCTGTTATGGCAGGGTCAAAGAACAAAACAAGTTTAACAGTGTCCTTGAAAAGTAACAAATGTTGCATAGATTGTGTTGATGCCTTAATTATACAGGAAGAAGTTATTTTCCAAATGTCAAACTCCAGTGGGCCATGACTGGGCCCCGACATATCCCCCTTTTTATTATATTTAGAGCAGGGACTTTCCCAGCTCAGCAGAAAGACTGTGCTTGTCTTAGGTGAGAAATGTCCAGAGAAATCCCTTACCCATCATCACGCCATGAGAATTTTGATACTCATGCTCTGTCTTAGGTTGGATATTTCTCTACACTTCTCTTACCCGTCTTTGACTACCAGCCTCTGCAGGGGTTAGACTGTAGGTATGGGAGGCTTAATGTTCAATTGTAAGCCATGAATCTTTCCTTCAATGTTCATCAAAGATGAACTCACCATGCACACTAATATGGGTAATATAACACATCCTAGACATACTCTTATCCCAATTGCAATAATAGGACCTAACAATTGGGTGACTGATACCATGGAGGGTAAGACCTCTTTTAGCTGATTGATAAAACAGTGAGCAGTTTGTGCCACATCAAACTTTAAGGAAAGGGCATTCTGTAGATCCAAAATATCTTGATGTAACTATTAAATCTAGGGAGGTATTTTTATTATACCAAATATCTTTCAAATGCCTTTGTATTTTATTCCAATCATAGATGGAATCATTATATAGCTCATTGGTTACACAAATCTATTGATAACCAGGGTGACACATCAATCGATAACAAACTTTCAGCACCTGTATTTCTTCTACCATAAGAGTAACTTCATCATATAATGCATTTATCTTTTGTTCTAATCCTTGATCAAAATCTACTTGAATAGTTACAGTATGAGTCACATTTTTAGCTAAAACATTAACATATTAAGCATCCCGAATTTCTTGTGCCAAAGCAACTGTAGCAGTTGTGGCTGTAGCTATTACAGTAATAAGGGCTACAATCCCCAGAATAACCAATCTCATCACTCTTTTTTT